AAATTAATAATTAACCTGGTGCAAAAGGTCAGTAAATCACCATATGGACAAAAACAAAACATCTTTTAGTATAACCCAACCATAACATAATTCTATTTCATGAAATACAATAAGGTTTTCTCTCTTGTGATCATATTTGATGGAGAAAGCTGAAATGTCTCCAAATGTATTTTGTTCCATTCTTATCCTCCTTTTCAGTGAAGCAGACAATTAGATGTGTACTTGATAGTTGTTTTCAGTCTCACAAACCCTCTGTAGTTACGTGTAGCTCTCTGCGTGGCCCACTGTTTCCCCTCCTGTTATCTTGCTGCAAACTTATTCGTCCTTAAGAGTTGGTCAGAGTGTGGAAATATTGGTATGGGTCAATATTTTCATGGCTTTGAAATATTTCTTTTTCTGTGCTAAGAAATGTGTGGGATAGGTCTCTTTAAGAGAAGGAGTACTATTTTATCTCCACTAATCTATATCTATTTATCTCTATGTCTCTATTTGCATATATTTAAGTATCTGTATCTACTTCAATATATAATATATCTCTGTAGTTGTATTTCTGTCTATATAGGTCACTTTTTTAACACCTAAGATTTGCATATAAAATATAGCTATAGATAGATTTTATATATAGCTATGTCCTTGGGGTCATACTGTACTCTTACACTTAATATATAACTTAAGAAGTATCTGATTAAAGTATTGAACAGAATGACACAGACGGCAAGTGCTTCAAGCCTGGAGAGGCTTGAGAGATCACTGAGACATCAGCTCCTTTTGGATGACCATTCCTAGAAGCATCTACCTCTTAAAAAGTTCTCCTGATGAAGGGAGATGTTTCAGAGATGAAGAGGAGAGAGCTTTTGTGGGGAGAAGATCTCTGAATGTCTCTTGAATATAACAACGCATACAGCCATCTTTAAATCTGTGAATGAATGACAAGTAAAGGTAGCTCAAAAAACCTCTTTTTTTGTTGTCCACATATATAAGACTACCACTGAATATATTATATTATTCATTACATTTTAATCATTCTCTTTACAAGGATCCTTGGGAGAAATGATTTCAAAGTTGGTATCAAGAACAGCAACCTTTTGGTTGATTTGCTTGCCTTTTGAATGCTACTAATTGTGTACATGGGCTGCTCGAAAATTTTGAATCAGATCTGTGGTTTGCACAGAGCAGTGGGTAGGACCTGATGGTGTGCAGTAAGTTTTATCCTTGCCTCCACACTATGTCTGGAGCTTGTTTTTCTTTTTCCATTTTTAAAATTTACGCTATTTGTCTGTGCCCTGTGTCTTGCATTAAGACATCTTCAACAATTTTTTATTTGTAAAAGCATTGATAGAGATGCCATACATGTAGACATTCACATGCATGTCTATTTCATGTTTTAATACCTGTAGAGGAAAATGAGAGATTAGGGAGGAAATGTCTTTTCAGTTTACATTCCCAATTGTAGTTCTGCAAGTGAGCTCAGCAGTTTCCCAGCTTGCACAAAAGCCATGCATTAAGGAAGGGGGAGTTTCTGCATGAGACCACATGAATCTAGGGAGACATAGCATCGGTACAGTTGGAAATCCTTGGAAGGTAAAGTATATAAAACTGAATGATAGGTTACAGAGATGAAGAAATCATGAGGTTATAGGGAATGCAACATGTAGTTTTAACTTCCAGTTTTCAAAGTGCATAATCACATTGGTGATCTCATGTAAGTCTCACTGAACTAAGCAAGGTAGGTGAGGAAATAAAGTTTTAGAGGTTATAATTTTATTTAAAATTGACGGCAACTGACTCAGATGAGAACCCGGGTCTATTGACTCCTGATCTTAAGCTGCCTCTAAGAATGTGCTTCATTAAAAAAGATCTTAGCCCCTGACAGCCTTGAAAGTCTAAGGTTTTGAAACATTACTTATTCCAGTCTTCTTTTGCTTATTATGAATCATTTCTACTTTGATAATAAATGTAGCATTGGCATTTATTTTAAAGCTAAAAGTTATAAATTCCATCCATCAAACAGATAAGTTCCAAGAGAGCAATCCTTTATTTTTCTAGCTTACTTTTAAGTCTATCACTTAAAAAGAATATTTTCTTTCTCCCCAAGCATAAGAGATTTTGAAAGCCTTGGATCTAATAGCAGAAATATTATATTCAAAACACTGACAATTGTAATTTATTCCTTTATTGATTGTGCTGGGTGGCCGGATTGTCCCTGAGGGTTGTGACATAGACAAGCAGAGATTGTGCTTCCTCCATTGCAGGCAACAGTCCAGTCTCCTGCTTCTAATTTTGAAGGAAAGAAGATGGTTAGAGGTTGAATTCCATACATCCTGCATTAACAAACTGCCATAAACTTGGTGGCTTAAAGCAACAAAAATTTATTCCCTCACAGTTCTGGAAGTCAGAACTCAGTATAAGGGGCTAGAACCGAGGTGTTGCAGGATCCCACTCTACCCAGAGGCTCTACAGGAGAACCCTTCTCTTCCCTTTCTGTGGGGGCTGGCATTCCTCATGGTTGTGTCACCGAGTCTCCACGTCTGTGGTCACACTGCTTCCTTCTCTGGCACCTGAAGTCAGAACTCCCTCTCCCTCCTGCTTACAGGGACATTTACAGTTGTATTCAGGGCTCACCCTGATAATATTCTTATCTCAAAACTCTTATTTTTTTAACTTAATAAGTTTCTCCATTAAGTAACAGCCCTAGGTTCCAGGAATTAGGAAAATATGGACTTGAAAAGATACATGCACCCCAGTGTTCACAGCAGCATTGTTTAGCCATGATGTGGAAACACCCTAAGTGCCCATCAACAGATGAATCGATAAAGATGTATACCCATGCTCGCATGCACGTGCGCACACACACACACGCACACACACAATGGGCTACTACTCAACCATAAATAAGAATGAAATTCTGCCATTTGTGGCAATGTAGATGGACCTAGAGAATATTATGCTTAGTGAACTAACTCAGACAGAGAGATACAAATACTGTATGAGATCACTTATATGTGGAATTTAAAAAATAATACAAGTGAATATATATGCAAAACAGAAATAGACTCACAGGTACAGGAAACAAGCTGGTGGTTACCAACAGGGAAAAGGAAGGAAAAAGGCAAATTAGGTTTATGAGATTGACACAAATTACTACATATAAAATAGATTATCAACAAGGATATATTATACAGCACAGAGAATTATAGCAAATGTCCTGTCATAACTTTTAATAGAGTATAAACTGTAAAAATACTGAATCACTATGTTGTACATCTTAAATTAATATAACTTTGTAAATCAATTGTACTTCAATTTAAAAAAAGAACTTGAATATCTTTATGGATCATATACAGCCTACCATATTCCCCTAAATCATTCAGTTGGCCAGTTTATTTTATTTTATTTTATTTTAAACCTCTGATTCTATCAGCAATTCAACCACATTTTGAACACAATTATCCATGGGTTAATATTTTTGCTTCCTTTCAGCATACATTTGAGTGTCATACTGGTGGCTATGGTCTCAAATTCCTATAATATAAGAAACTCTTATTATCAAGTTACACATTTTTTTGACTTTATGTATAGCTGTCTTCTTGACTTTGTGGAGAAAATATTGAATAAAATATGTGTTGTCTTCAAGAAAATTATAGTAAATGTACTTCCAAGGATATTCCAGAATATGGTTAGAATAATAAAAGTATGCTTCTCCATGTAATTCTCTAGTAAAGACAAAAGATTCAAGGATGTGAAGAGAAAACAAAGTCCCTTTTTCCTATCTTCCACATGGTTCCGAATCACCCTAAGTGCAAACAGAAGAGAAGATGAACAAGTCACCATCTCTCAAAAGGAGGACAATTAGATTAAAAATACATGTTTGACACATACTATGTTCTGTGCATAATGACTATATCTTTCAAGACAGCATAGAATAATCCTCAGTTATCTGACAAAAATGACACCCAGCTCAGTATAAACATGTCCTATAATGAACAATGTGTCTGCATCAGTTGAGTTCTTCAGTGATCTGCAATGGCAGATGATGGGGAGCTGACATAGCTGTATCTTAAATCATGACATGTTGACTAATCTTTTCACAGGAAGGAACCAAAGAGACCCAAAATCAGTGGACGAGAGAAACTTCACCACAGTGAAGGAGTTCATGCTTTTAGGGTTCAAGACAGATCTCTGGTTACAGAGAGCTCTCTTTGGCATCTTCCTCATCATTTACATCTTCAGTCTCTTAGGGAATATCACCCTGATTTCTCTGATCTGTGCTGATTCTCAGCTTCATACACCCATGTATTTATTCATTGGAAACTTTCATTCCTGGATCTCTGGTATGCTTCCGTCTATGCCCCCAAAATCCTGATAACCTGCATTTCTGATGACAAAAGCATCTCCTTTGCTGGCTGTGCAGCTCAGTTCTTCTTCTCAGCTGGTCTCACCTACAGTGAGTGTCATCTGTTGGTCGCCATGGCTTATGACCACTTTGTGGCCATCTCCAACCCCTCGCTTTATTCCCAGGTGATGTCCCCATGGTTATGTGCCAGTCTCATTGTAGCTTCATACTTTTGTGGCTTTCTGAACTCAGCCATCATCACCAGTGAAACATTTGCCCTGAGCTTCAGTGGGGACAACCTCATTGATGATTTTTTCTGTGAATTGCCTCCACTTGTCAAGTTGGCTTGTGATGTGGAAGAGAGTTACCAGGTGGTTCTCTATTTTATACTTGCCTCCAATGTCATCACTCCCTCTGTGTTTATCCTGGCCTGCTATCTCTTCATCATTGCTGCCATCCTGAAGATCCACCCCACCCAAGGCCACCTCAAGGCCTTCTCCACCTGTGGCTCTCACTTGACAGCTGTCACCTTGTACTATGGTTCCATTCTCTTCATTCACTCCCGGCCAAGTACTAGCTATGCCCTGGAAAGGGATAAAGTGGTGTTGGTGTTCTACATGGTGGTGATTCCCATGTTGAATCCCTTGATCTGCAGCTTAAGAATAAAGATGTTAAAGATGCCCTGAGGAAAATGATAGATAGAGCCGAGTTTCTCAAACAAAGGCTTTGGTAAACAAAGGATG